AGGGGCTGTGATCGGTTGGAGCTCATGAGGCCCCGCATGTCATGGTGGTTAAGGGTTTTACGGCTCAGCTAGGCATGGGACGGATGGGGACCCTGGTTTCTCGGCATTGTAGAGAGCGATTTCAAATTCTGGGTATAGCCTCTCCCAGGGATTGAGGCCTAAATCAGCATTGGGACATCCCCTGAGGGGCCCAATATGGGGGGGGGGCCAGCCCGACCAGAGAACAACCCCCCCCCCCCCCCCGCACGAATTTCATGCACCGGGCCACTAGTCTATATGTAAAAGCCTAAGTGGCTGTCCGATCATTCGACTGTCCGACCAGTAGCTATGATGTGCAATGACCACCAGGGGGCAGATGCTCAATGCAGGAGCTGCTGAGCTGCAGTGACTTGGCAGCTGTGGTTCTCAGTTTTCTGTGTTGTACCAGATGAATTAGTTCTGTCCAATCTCCTTTATGAGAAATCTACAAATATGGAATCATATACCATATTTGTAGCTCCAAGAGGCAGTAGTTTCATTTTCATCAACCTTGAGAGTTTTCTGAAATACCTCTTAAGGATGAAATTCTTCTGGAATGTGGCCAAACGGGAAATCAAATGTTAACCCTGGACAGCTCACTTTCCTCTTGGGTCCCAGTGACATTTTCTTCTTTTTTGATTTTGAGAGTATGTTTATTAAAGCTGGGGACTGAAACAAGGAAGGGTTTAGGATAGAAGAAGCCACAGGAGAGAGCCTAGGCAGGGCTGCTTTGGCTCTAGAAACAGAAAAGAAATGAGCCTGTGGGGGCTGCATTGGCTCACTGAGAAGTCAGAGAAAAGGGGGGCCTTAGAGACAGGTCTAGGGAGTTAACCTGGCATGAGCAGCCGCTGCCCATTGCTCCTGTCTTGTGGGGTCCCTTAGAGTTTAGGAGATGCACACCTGTGGGGGAAGGAAAGGGGAGGGAAAAGCGTGGGCATGCTCCCAGCAAGGAGAGTGCACTGACATTTTCTTCTAAGAAACATGACTTGAAAAAGTCGTGGCTCAGTTCCTGATAAAATCAATGTAATGTGTTTTATTTAATGTGCATATCTGCTACTGCTAAGATGTGTAAAAATTCCTTAGATTTATGATTCCAACATCATCTTTGAATTCTATGTGTTTTAAGAACTCCTGTACCGGGTGACTTGTGTGTTAGATTAGATATTGATTCTGTTAAATTCAAATTAATAGACAATATTTACTAGGAAGATTCCTTTTTATGAATCATTTCTGTAGGCTTGTTGGGATCAAGGAAAAATTACCTGGCCAAACTAATTTATAACCAAAGCGTAATGGTGGATTAGATCGGTACTGTGTTCTCACCCTCAGGTGCACATTAGCATCACCTGGGGAGCTTTTAAAACTCTTGATATCTGGCTGCACCTCAGACCAATTAAATCAGAATCTGTGGAGCTGGACGCAGGTATCATTAGTTTTTTTTTTAAGAACTCCAGGTGATTTCACTGTGCAGCCAAGATTGAGAACCACTCAATCTGGTAGAATTTCCACTTTTACATTTAATAAAGCAGTCATCCTTTTACCGCCTATCTGTATTATTGTAGTGAATGTCTTAGAGTTTCCATGTAAATCTCTTTTGAGTCTGTCTGTATTTTAATTGGGAGTCTGCCATTATGGGCTTAATGAGGATAGCATGGACTGTCCTGAGCCATGTGCCAGTCACTGGGAAGCCCTTTTTATATATGATCCCATTTAATCTTTACAACAACTTTAGGATACTTAGGTGTTATTCACTCCATTTTTTATAAGTGAAGAAATAGGCTTAGAGTGGTTAAGTGACTTGCCCAAGGTTTGAGTCCAAAGCATCTTTAACCTTCAAATACTTCCCTTTCTAAGGTGCGTAGACAACACTTTGAGCCAGCCACTTTTTATGATGGGCTTGTTCACTAACAACATGCTATCAAATAGGGGCTTGGTTGAAAGCACCCCTTACTGACAAGGCCTGTAAAGACAAACTCCTGACAGAGTTGATGTGATAGGATCTCTAGCCCAACACATAGAAAAACCACATGTAAATTGGGGAGTTCTAATCCTCTTCTAAACATCTCGTAGTTTTAGAACTGGCTTGCTACCATAGATCTTAATGAGAATAATTGGGTTTGGTTAACCCATGAAAAACAAATGTACACTCACACCTGTCAGAATGGCTATCATCAATATATCAATAAACAGGAAGTTTGGTGATTATGTGGAGAAAAGGGAACCCTTGTACACTGTTAGTGGGAATGCAAAATGGTGCAGCCACTGTGGGAAACAGTATGTAGGTTTCTCAAAAAATTAAAAATGGAATTGCCCTGTGACTAAGCAGTTCCACTTCTGGGTATATATCTGAAGAAACCCAAATGCTAATATGCATCCTTATGTTCATTGCAGTTTTATTTACAACTACTGGCCTGGTGCACAAATTCGTGCACATTGAAAGGAAATTAATTAGAAGAAGTATTTTAATATCGCTATTCACCCTTTCTCTATAGTAGAAGTGTCAACCAAATTCACAATCGACAATGACAGATCGAAATACTCATGCGATTGGCGCCAGCGACAGCTTTATATGTATCACACATGCAAGAGTCAGCTTAGCCTTTTATATACTCCCTCTGTCCCATAATAATAATAGCAGGTGATGAATGTAATTTGTCCCATAATAATAGTAGCAAAAGAAAATAAATATAAGACGCAACATTTATTATCAAAAAACTAGATTAAATTAAACAATAAATTAAAAATAGTACTCCTAATTTGTATTTTGAGTGTTCAGATAGTTTCTGGGTTTTTCAATAATTTCGTTACTGCATTTTAAACTTGTAGGTAGGATCCCTTGGCTGCGAAGCTTTGCTTTCCCTATATGCGTGAGCTTAAAATTATTGGAGCCATCGTTCTTCATTGCTTCCAGCATAACTTGTTGAAGTGACAGAAACGTATTATCCAGTATTTCGGGAGAAATATTATCAAAGGCTAATATGGTGCCTCTTCTGCTAAGAGGAATATGTCTAAGTTTTTCAAGTTTTTCTCCATAATCTTTGCATTTACGTCCACAGTTTTGTTTTTTCAAAGAATCAACATTAGCATAAGATTCTCCTTGACAATTATTTTCAGAAGCACGTTTCCAAATTCTTGCTATGGTCATTCTGTTGCACTTAAATTGTTTTGCAGCTAACGTAATTGCACCTTTCTACAACTTTTCCTTTTTCTTCTGATGCATCAAGAACTGGACAATCGCAACTTGATCTTTGCTTGAAAACTCTCTTTTTTTCATCTTACTTTTACAATGGGTTGATATTCAACTGAAATAAAACAATTGATTTTGATCAGCGGATGAAATTAGAAAAATAGTTGTAATTCGTAATAATTAGATTAACCTAAAAATTGAAAGATGTGTCAAAACAAATGACAGATGTCATGAAACATTGATTTTGATTGAAGGCTTCGAAATTTTGCGCTACAACATAACTTACAGCTGCATTTGCCAATAATTCCCGTTTAAATATTCACTTGCTACTATTATTATGGGACAGAGGGAGTATATAGAATAAACTTGTTTAGTTAGACCTGCTTTCTGATTTAGCTAAACTTTTTCCAGCCCAGTGAAGCACCCCAACTTCTCTTTCAGGTAATTGTCAGCAACACAGCAGTAAATATCAGAAGCAGATTATTATTGTAGATCACGCAGGGAGAACAAAGGGCAAAATATTTACTGTAGCAGTGTTTGACTATATTCTGCGTAATGAGAAAACCTGAAGTCATTTTCAAGGTCCACCATTTTTTCTTTTCAGTTGGGTCAAGTTTCTAAGCTTTCTAAATCTGTTTTCCGGTTAATGAAAGGAAAATAGGATTCCACCGAGTCTCCTGTCTACGTACTCCAGGACTTCTGTGAGGATCAAATGAGATGAGGCCTGCGGAAATGCTTCACAGACATTTGGTTAAAATGTAAAATGTTTGCAACTGGCTATAAAGCAAGTTGTGTTCCTGGGCTGAAGAAACTCCAAGGAGGCTAGTTGCTAGGGAGAGGAAGCCAGGTGTTGCTACATGATGTCATTACCTGGGGCCCACAGCCACCGTTTCCGGTCTGGGCTGGGGGCCGCATTTTGTGCCATGGGGTCTCGTCAGTGTCAGTTGCAATTTGGTGGGCTGTTGCTCTGGGGTGGTGGTATGGCTTGTGTCCCACTTGGGGGAAGCCAGGTATTGCTTTGTGGGTGCCAGGTCTGTGCTGCCGTTTCTCTGTAAATGGCCAGTGCACATCACGGTAGCACCTGCGTTGAGTGTCTGCCCCGTGATGGTCAGTGTGGATGGTTGGATACTTAGCATGTTAGCTTTTTATATATATAGAAGATAGCCAAGATATGGAAGCAACCCAAGTGCCCATCAATAGATGAGTGGATAAAAAAGCTGTGGTACAGCCCTAAGCCAGTTTGGCTCAGTGGATAGAGCGTCGGCTTGTGGACTGAAGGGTCCCAGGTTCGATTCCGGCCAAGGGCACATGCCCGGGTTGTGGGCTCGATCCCCAGTAGGGGGTGTGCAGGAGGCTGCTGATCAATGATTCTCTCTCATCATTGATGTTTCTATCTCTCTCTCCCTCTCCCTTCCTCTCTGAAATCAATAAAGAAATATATATATATTTTTAAAAAGCTGTGGTACATATATACAATGGAATATTACTCAGCTATAAAAAAGACTTAAATCTTACCTTTTTCAACAGCAGGGGTATTATGCTAAGTGAACTAAGTCAGAGAAAGAAAAATACCATATGATTTCACTTATATGTGGAATCTAAAGCAGCGGTCGCCAACCTTTCGGACCTCATGGACCACCAGTGGTCTGTGGACCACTGGTTGGCGACCATTGCTTCAAAGGTTTCCTTAAACCAGGGGTCACCAACCTTTTGGATCTCACAGATCACCAGTGGTTCACGGACCACTGGTTGGCGGCCGCTGATCTGAAGAACAAAATAAAGGAAAAAATAAAGAAATAGACTTATAGATACTGATGGTTGCCAGAGGGGAAGGGAGTTGGGGGGTTGGATGAAAAGGTGAAGGGATTAAGAAGTACAAATTGGTAGTTATGAAATAGTAATGGGATGTAAAGTACAACGTAGGAAATATAGTCCGTAATATTGTATTAACTATGTGTGGTTCCAGGTGGGTTCTTGAAATATTAGGGGATCACTGTGTAAAGTATATGATCGTCTAGCCACTATGCTGCACACCTGAAACAAATATAAAATAATATTGAAAAAATTAAAGCAAATGGACAGTTTTAGACATAGTCACCCATGCTACTGGGTACTGTATTAAAGTCATAGAAGCCAAAATACTGTTGATGGGGGAGTTTTTCTCTTAACTTTATAGTCTAGTGATGGTCTCTTAATGCTTTATAGGTACTGAAACTTCTCTCCTGGGATCCAGTAGTCTCATTCACTGTAACAAATCTAATTATTATGGGTTCCAGAAGATAACTTTGGAATGTCAGAATTATTTATACTAGGAGTGCTAGGCAAGTAGTGTAAATGAATCTATAGATAATCAGGTGGAGTAGGTGAAAGATAGTAGGGAGTGATGGGATTCACGATGAGCTCATGTTCCATTTTTAGGGATGAGAATAGGCTTCAGTCTGTTGTTGTCATATCTTCTAACTTATCTATAGAACCTGAAAATCTAAATTTAGGTGAAATTCCCAAATTTTTAGGTAAACTCTCCCAAATAAAACATGTCTATGTGAATTCAGCCTCCTGAGGTTTACCTGTTTATCCTCTGTGCTTTTGAATCCATCCTGAATGGATGCTACTCTTTGCTAAGCTCTTTACCCTTATTTAATTAATGAAGGACAAGTTCCCTTAGGATGAATTCATAATATAGTTAACTTGTACTCCAAAAGGACAAGGCTCTCCCCCCTCAAACTGTAGTCTCATTGGTTGCTGGAATTGCCTTTGAGACTATGTCAGCTTTCCTTTCAGTCAAGTGCAGATTCAGATTTTAATGTAATTTTAAGAAGCAAACAGGTGTTAGGCATAGTTATTATTCCTTTACATTGAATTTGGCTGTAGGACATCCTTTTGTCAATGAGTGTAATGCTGTATGTTCTGTAAAGCTATATGACTTGTTCCCTCAGTGGTTGAGCATCAACCCATGAACTAAGATGTCACCAGTTCGATTCCTGTCAGGGTACAGGCCTGGGTTATGGGCTCGATCCCTAGTAGGGGGTATGCAGGAGGCAGCCAATCAATGTTTCTCTCTCACTGATGTTTTTCTCTCTCTCTTCCTCTCCCCTTATCTCTCTCTAAAATTAAAACAAAACAAAACAATACAAAAAAACACCCACAAAACCAAAACAAAACTAGATGACTTGTAAGTTCCTCTACATTTATTGAGCTTTCACTGAAGCACTTTTCTGTAATGGAGTATCTCTGGTATTTAAACATGATGGAATTCTTTATTTTGGCACATTTTTGCCCAGTCTCCTTCCAGTAATTAATTTTTTTTTTTATATTATAGGCATATAGTTGGAAAGAGAGGGGACACTAAGAAGAAACTAGAGGTGGAGACCAAAACTTCTATTAGTATTCCTAAGCCTGGACAAGAAGGAGAAATTGGTGAGACCCAGTGTATACGTTATATTTGCAACCATTTTTGTATGTGTGTGGAATAATGTAACCCAACTGAGGTGTTTAGTGACTATATTCGTTATGAGGTTCTGTAGCTATTGGCCTTTTTGTGATTTATCAGTATCAATCTACCAAATGGAGAAAGATGTAATTATACCACCTTATCTTGATTGAATACCTGGGCCTTCATTTTATACTTTACCTGGCACTGATGGGATAAAGCTTCCAGATTTCATTGTGATTTGATTTATTTTATGCTTTAGTAGCTTGAATGGAGTGTGTGAATTGTTTCAAGTTAGAATTAGAGAAAATCAATGAGACCTGCAAATTTGAAATAAAGTCCAGCTCTTTCCATAAGTGTTTGCTTGTTTTTACCTTGCTTTGTAGACTCTGAGTAGTGATTAAAATGCCAGTGTGATTCAAATAACTGCTCAGGTGAGGAAAAATAGTTTGGTAATATAAAACAAATCAGAAAATGTCTGTACCAAACATCAGTGTGAACCAAGGGCAACAGCTTTGAGTGAGGGTCAGTGTGGGGACAAATTTTTTAAAAATTCATCCTAAAACTATAGGACTTCTAAAAAATCAACTAAGTTCAGCAACCTTCAATAATCTATTTTCCATAAACACCCACAGATTGTATTGTTTTAGGAGAAAAAAAAATTCAAGTACTCTTCTTATTTTGTGCTATGTAAGAATAATCACTGTGACAGATAAGTAACAGTTGACTTTAGAGCAGTGCTGTCCAAAAGAACTTCCTGTGATGATGGTATGTTCCATATCTGCCCTGTCCAGCACAGGAGCCACTGGCACATGTGACTATGAGTACTTGAAATGTGGCTAGTGTGACTGAGGAACTGAATTTGTAGTTTTATTTAATTCTAATTCATTTAACCTCTAGTTTAACTAGCTGCATGTGGACTCCTGTATTGGACAGCACAGTACTAGAGTTTTCCCCAGCATCCTGTAACTTCAGTAAACTCCAGCCTAAGAACTTCAACGACATTTATAAAGGACTTTTAAAAAATAAACATTCAGTTCATTAGAATTACAAATAAAGCCATGGCTGGTTTGGCTTAGTGGTTAGGGCATTGGCCCACACTCTGAAGGGTTGAGGGTTTGATTCCCAGTCAAGGGCTTGTACCTGGGTTGCAGGTACAATTCCTGGCCCTGGTCAGGGCTTGTGTGTGGGGCAGCCAATCCATGTGTTTCTCTCACATCGAAGTTTCTTTCTCTCTCCTCGGCCCTCCTTCCCTTCCTCTCTCTCTAAAAATCAATGGAAAAAATATCGTTGGGTGAGGGTTAACAACAACAAAAAAAAGACTTACAAATAAAAAACTTAGGTCTTTCCTTAAGCTTTAAAGTTCAAGTTAGAAATATTGAAATATTTTATAATTGCATTTAAGCTTATTTATCGATTCCCCCCCCCCCCCCTTAATTTTATAATTACTGTATGCTTTAAACATGGAAACTTGCAGAAATTATATACTGGTGTAAAGGGAAATCTTTTATAATAGGAAACACAGACCTAATCACCATTGACAGTTGAATATGTTCCACATCTTTGATATCATATAGTAATATATAAATAGTTTTTTTTTATATATATTTTATTGAATTCTCACAGAGAGGAAGGGAGAGAGATAGAGAGTTAGAAACATCGATGAGAGGGAAACATCGATCAGCTGCCTCCTGCACATCTCCCACTGGGGATGTGTGCACAACCCAGGTACATGCCCTTGACCGGAATCGAACCCGGGACCTTTCAGTCCGCAGGCCAACGCTCTATCCACTGAGCCAAACCGGTTTCGGCTATATAAATAATTTTTATTTTATTTTTAAAAAATATATTTGTATTGATTTCAGAGAGGAAGGAAGAGGGAGAGAGAGATAGAAACATCAATGATGAGAGAGAATCATTGATTGGCTGCCTCCTGCGTGCCCCCTACTGGGGATTGAGCCTGCAACCCAGGCATGTGCCCTTGACTGGAATTGAACCTGGGACCCTTTGGTCTATAGTTCGACGCTCTATCCACTGAGCCAACCTGGCTAGGCTGGGTTTCTATCTAGGTGTGGGAATTGCTGAGTCATATGGTAATTCCTTTTTAACTTTAAAAAATATATATATTTTTATTGATTTGAGAGAGAAAGAGAGATAGAAATATCAAGGATGAGAGAGAATCATTCATTGGCTGCCTCCTGGATGCCCCCTACTGGGGATCAAGCCCCCAAACCAGGCTTGGGAATTGAAGCATGGCCACCTGGTTCATAGGTCGAAGCTCAACTGCTGAGCCTACCCTGCCAGGCCCTTTTTAACTTTTTAAGGAACTGCCAAACTTTTTCATAGCAGCTGCACCATTTTACATTTCCACCAACAAAGTATGAGGGTTTGCTTTGTAGCTTTTGCTTTGTAGCTCATTTTTCTAGTTCATCAGCTAGTCTTTAAGGATTTTTTGTTTTAAGACCTCATCTGCTTAGATTGAGTTCATTTTAAGTTTCTTACTCTTGATTCTCTCCGCTGTTTAGAATTATGTACACATTCAGCAGCTCCCCACATATGACAGTATCAGGAGGTCGCCTATCTTACAAGCATTTGATGGTCCTTGAGTAGGTTAATCGTATATTTTTTTGTTTGCAGTAATCACTGGCCAGCATCGAAGTGGTGTGATTTCAGCCCGAACTCGGATTGATGTTCTTTTGCTCACTTTTAGAAGAAAGCAGCCCTTCACTCACTTTCTTTCCTTTTTCCTCAATGAAGCTGAGGTTCAGGAACGATTCCTGAAGTTCCAGGAGGAAGTACTAGAGAAGTGCTCCATGGTAAGTAGCAAACTAAACAAATCAAAAAGTTTAAAAGAAAAATGAAGAGTACAGAAATGGTTCATAATTGAAACAGTAGATAAAAATTTCTTCTACCAAAAAGGTAACCATTTCTGGTGGTTTCTTTTAATTCTAAGCTGAAAACAAAACAAAACAAAACTGTAGACATATTAGCACATAAGTGTCTATATATTATTGAAATATTCTTTAAAAATTCTAAGACACAAAAGGATCATCTTAATATACATACTATCCTGCACCTTATCGATGGCAATGTTAATGAGATGTCATTATCTGTAGATCTTCCACCTCTGGACAGTCATGGCTTATTTGGGGTTAGTAACAAAAAACAATTTTGCATGTGGAAAAACAATTTTGCATTTGGTAGCATTCTTGTTCTTGACCTCACCCTTGATGCTCCAAAGTAATGTAAATTTACCTTTTAGGACAGCATTTCCTGAAATCACCTTCCTTTGTGCTGATCAATTATTTAAGAAATGTTGTTTGTCTGCAGACATCACCATCATCCCTGGGCTTCCCCTCCCTAAGCTTGAGCATTTAATGTAGAGTTTAGCTGCTCAGAGGCATCAGCAAGGTATTTCTCATCTATGTGATCTGCAGATAAACTGCACCTTATTTTTTCACTGTCCTCTCTTTCATTAAGATTCAAAGATGTCTCACTGTCTGCAAGTTCAAGAAGTATATTAAAACCTTGTCTATCTCTCCATCATTCTATAGCTAGTAATGCTGCTATAATTCCATTTTATCTCACAGCAGGGTTCAGTAGAAAGTGCATCAGTAATGAAAAACAGTAATTCAAAGCTGTGTTTGGTGGAGCATTCTGAAGGCTTCTAGATTTGTCTAAAGCTACAGGGGATTTCTCAGGCTGCCTGGAGAATCCAAATAGGTTATAGCTTCAGAAACTACATAGTTCTGCTTATATTGTATGTGAAGGCTAACACAGCACAGAAATGGCTAATGGATCTGGGGTTTCCCCTCAGTTAGGATTAGTTTTTTCTTCACTTAGTATTATTCACTGAAGAAAATTTATCTGTAAAAGCTTTAGTGTATTATTTAGGATTCTTCATGTGTAAGGGGAGTTCTGGGATTTATAATTATCTTATGAATTACTTTAGAGTGAAGATGGGATAGTTGTCTTTGGTTGTAAGAAAAGTTGTAAATTGAATTCTGATGTTGGGTAGGATAGTAGGAAATGACCAGACATATATTGCACCATTTGGATGCAGAGAGTTGTGAACAAGTGTTTATCTTTTATTCATTCATTCACTGTTTATTAAATGTATATCATTTGCCAGACTGTGTATTATGCACTAACAATGGACTCTACCCTTATGGATCACATGCTCTGGGAAGAAGTAGCGTTCTTACAGAAATAGTTATGGTCTATGTGCTATTAGAGGGGCGAACAGTGGGTACCCAGAGGAGAGGGTCTGTAGTGGTTGGAAAAGGCTCCATAAAGAAGGTGACACTTGCCCTAGCCGGTTTGGCTCAGTGGATAGAGCATCAGCCTGCGGACTCAAGGGTCCCACGTTCGATTCTGGTCAAGGGCATGTACCTTGGTTGCTGGCACATCCCCAGTAGGGAGTGTGCAGGAGGCAGCTGATCAATGTTTCTCTCTCATCAATGTTTCTAATTCTCTATCCCTCTCCCTTCCTCTCTGTAAAAAATCAATAAAATATATTTTTAAAAAAAGAAAAAAAAAAGGTGACACTTGAAGAGAGTCTTGGAAGAAAGAGTTGCCAGGCTGGCAAGGAGCAGACGAGGATTTTGGGCAGAGGAAATGGCACTTGCCAGGAATGCAAGTGTTCTAGTCCACTATGTTCAGGGGAGAGTGAGGAGTTTGCAAGACTAAAGCCTAGAAAGTGGGTAGGGTATGGTAGGGAAGAGGTAGGAGTTAAGAGCAGAAAGGCAAATGGTATCCACCTGGTTGTCAATGGTCTTGTGTGAGTTTTGGGTTTTGAATGTACTTTATAGGTAGTCAGGAATTATGAAAGAGTTTATGTAGAGACTAATGTGATTAATTTAGCATTATAGAAAAATCCTGAAGGCAGTGTGGAGGATGGATTGAGAGTTAAGGAGTGAGGTACGAGAGGCAGCTACCAGTTAGACTATTAGTACAGTCTGTTGGAAAAAAGGCTAGGGTCTGTGGCATATTTAGGAGGGGATATATTCCAGAGATGTTTGAGAGGTTTTCTCTAATGTGGGGATAATAATAGTACCTACCTTTAATGTTGATACAAAGAGTAAATGAATTAATATGTAAGATGTTTACAGCGTAACATGGCACATAGCTAGTACTGTATGTGTTAGCTGTTGTAATACCACCGATTACCATATGGGACATGGGGGAAAGTGGCGTCAAGAAGAGGCGGAGGGTCTGGTTGGAACAGAGCTGTACCATTAACCTATCACTAACGTTTGAGTGATTAGTGCCTGTCTTTGGAAATAAGTATAGATTGGTAGATGGATTGCTAACTAGTGCTTACAAGTAACTTATGGAGGAATAGTTGAGCTTTTAGAAGTAGGCTTAATTATTCATTGTGCTCATCAAAGGTAAGAGGGATGCATCTTTTACTGAAGGGGAGATGCTCTTCACTCATTTTTAATGGTAAGGATTTGTAGACAATGAATTCTTTTTTCTGGTCAGTATAAAAATACTTTTTTTCTTGTTCGTTTTAAAACCTGCTGTTTGAATATTTGTCCTTTGTTTTTAAGAGCCTTTCCACTTTCACGTAATTATGTCTGGATAGAATTGATAAGCCAGAACAATCAAAACCCTGTTTTCTGAAGTTTATTTAACATAATAAAGTATTTTATTAATAACACTAATACAAGCTCAAATCAAAGTCAGCTTTTGTGAACATTCTTAAAGAATAATAGAAGTGACTCATCAGAGCCTAATTTCGCACTCCAGTGATTTTGATGGAAGAGCAAAGATGGTTTAGAGTGTTGCATAGTCATATAAAAAGCTAGAAGAGGGAAAAGCCTGTATTTATCCCATTTTACTGTGTTCCAGAGGCTATATATATATATATATATATATATATATATATATGCCCTTACCCCCCCCCCCAATGTCCTTGTCCATAGGTGTATGATTTTTGTTCAGTCTTTTCCCGCACCCCACACCCCCTTCCCCCGAGAATTGTCAGTCCACTCCCTTTCTATGCCCCTGATTCTATTCTATTCACCACTTTATTCTGTTCGTCAGATTTTTTATTCACTTGATTTTTAGATTCACTTGTTGATAGGTATGTATTTGTTGTCACTTTGTTGTTCATAATTTTTATCTTTACCTTTTTCTTCTTATTCCTCTTCTTAAAGAATACCCTTCAGCATTTCATATAATAGTGGTTTGGCGGTGATGAACTCCTTTAGCTTTTTCTTATCTGTGAAGCTTTTTATCTGACCTTCAATTCTAAATGATAGCTTTGCTGGGTAGAGTAATCTTGGTTGTAGGTTCTTGCTATTCATCACTTTGAATATTTCTTGCCACTCCCTTCTGGCCCGCATAGTTTCTGTTGAGAAATCAGCTGACAGTCTGAGTACTCCCTTGTAGGTAACTGTGTTTTTTTTTTTAAATTTTTTATTTTATTGATTTTTTACAGAGAGGAAGGGAAAGGGATAGAGAGTTAGAAACATCGATGGGAGAGAAACATCGATCAGCTGTCTCCTGCACACCTCTTACTGGGGATGTGCCCGCAACCAAGGTACATGCCCTTGACCAGAATCAAACCTGAGACCTTTCAGTCCGCAGTCCGACACTCTATCCACTGAGCCAAAACAGGGCTAACTGTTTTTCTCTTGCTGCTTTTAAGATTCTCTCTTTGTCTTTTGCCCTTGGCATTTTAATTATGATGTGTCTTGGTGTGGTCCTCTTTGGATTCCTTTTGTTTGTGGTTCTCTGCGCTTCCTGGACTTGTAAGTCTATTTCTTTTACCAGGTAGGGGAAGTTTTCTGTCATTTTTTCTTCAAATAGGTTTTCAATATTTTGCTCTCTCTCTTCTTCTGGCACCCCTATAATTCAGATGTTGGTATGCTTGAAGTTGTCCCAGAGGCTCCTTGCACTATCTTCATATTTTTGGATTCTTTTTTCCTTTTGCTTTTCCGGTTGGGTGTTTTTTGCTTCTTAGTATTTCAAATCTTTGACTTGATTCGTGGGGTCCTCTAGTCTGTTGTTGGATCTCTGTATATTATTCTTTATTTCAGTCAATGTATGCTTAATTTCTAATTGGTCCTTTTTCATATCCTTGAGGGGTCTCACTATATTTCTTGGAGGTTTCTAGAAGATTATTGAGTAGCGTTATAACCGTGGTTTTGAACTCTATATCCAGTAGTTTGCTTTTCTCCATTTCTTTCATTTGTGACCTGTTTCTTTGTCTCCGCATTTTGGCTGTGTTGATAGAGTGGCTTTGTGTGTTAGGTGTCCTACAGGGCCCAGTGGCTCAGCCTCCCCAATCACCTGAGGTGGACGCTCTTGGTGCACCCCTTTGTGGGCTGTGTGCACAGTCTTGTAGTTAAGCCTTGATTGCTGTTGGTATCTCTGGGAGGAATTGACCTCCAGGCCAATTGGCTGTGAGAATCAGCTGTGTCTACAGTGGGAGAACTTCTGTGCTGGAAACACCCTTCTGGGGCAAGACTTGCTTCAGTGGGGCTTTGGTGCTCACTGAGTCTGCCCAGGTTTTTAGGCGGAGAAAGGCCAGGCCATTCATAGGCAAAAACCTCTGCGCACAGCTTGGGTGGGGTTGTAAATTGGGTGGGGTGGGGTCTCAGGGAATCACCAGGGTGGAGCAAACCACAATGGCTGCCAGTCTGCTCAGCCTCGGAGAGGTCCCGGGGTCTGTGTCCCGGGGCCCTGTGCAGGAATAATGACCGCTGCAAGCACCTCTGCGAGAAAGCCGCCCTCACGTTCCAGCCGATGCCAGACAGTCCAGTTTCTCTCCGTATGAATCTGGGTCCCCAAATTCTCACCCGGAACT